GAGAGAAAGAGAGTGTGTGTGTGTAAGTGTGTGTGTGTGCTGCGGGGGAGACGGGGAGAGAGAGGGGGAGTTCAAGCAAGGAGGAGGTGGTGCACTCTACAAGATGTGTTAAGCTGCACAGAGAGTCAGAACAGAACCGGAAACGAAGTCATTTAGCATTGAAAGTAAAAGCAGTGAAACGAAAAACATTAGAAAACACGAGATGAGGTGCGCAGAAAAGATTTGTCCAGTCATAGCTAAAACTTCCACCCATACCAGCAGAACAAAGACTGATTCCTTGAGATACGCATTATCAAGCAGCACTTAGATATCGTAAATCCCAGAATACTGTGCACAATCAGGGGAACTTGTTTATCACAAAACCGGGATGCAACCAGTGAAGCCAGCCCTTCATGTCTATATTAAGTGCCGTTGTAGCCTTATGCGTTAATCTCTTCATCTGCAACCTGTCCATGTTCCCCCGGCAATATTAACAAGACATATTTAGATAATAAAGCCCCCTACTTATTTAAAAACCGGTTTCAGTAATGCAATGCATGTTCCTGTCTTCATGTCTTTCTTTTCACTTCGTTTTTGTTTTTTGTTGCAACAAGTTCGCCGGCGTGATTTTATTTTGAAAGACAGGACCGGAAGACCGATTTCTTCATTGTGTCTACCTTGACCATGCTCACGACAAGCCACTCATTGATGTAAGCAGCGCCCACGGCTTAAATGAGCCTCGTTCGGGAGCATTTCATAGTTCAGACACGGACGGAGAGCAGACAGAGACGGACTCTCCTCCTCTTCCTCCTCCGTAGTCTCCCTCCATCTCTCTCTCACTCTCTTCCACTGTATCTCTCCATCCAGCATCCAGCCTCATGCGTCTTTTGGATACCTACCTCTCCTAGAGCGCGTCAGCCCCGCTGGATCGGTCCATCATCCTCCACATGTCACCCCCCACTGTGGTCCCCCTGGAAGCTGTATTTACAGTGATGATGATGATGATGATGCCTGGCTGAAAGGCTCGCAGCAGTGTTCTTCCTCCAGCCACACGACTGAAGAGGAGCTTGGTGCCGCTTCCCCCTCCTGGAGCGTGTGTCCGCGTAATGGATTTACTGTTGTCGGAGAAAAGTTGGATTCCGTGAAGAGCCCAGTGGAACCCTAACATGGGCAGAATAGGAGTGCGTTGTTAGAAAGGTGCTTTTTGGGTTGGAATCACACCGTGAGAGGAAATGCACAGAGGTGAGTTCCCCGCAAGCTGCCTGAGCGCCAATAATGCGCGTCAGGGTCCAGCGCCCGGCACAGTCCACAGTTTATTTGAACACTGGGTGAAATGTATTTGCCTTTTTTTTTTTACATTCTCTCTTTCCAGCACAGTTGGTGTTTAATGTGCAGAGTGTGTGTGTTTCAACACATCCAAAGCAACTAGGGTGGCATGAAACGATAAAACCCTCATGATGAATGTGCTCCAGGAGAGATTACAATGTCCTTATTATTTTGATGTATTTCTCTCAAAGTGAGACGCCATTCCGGTAAAAAAAAAACTGCACACTGACTCCTCTTTATACCGCTCTCCATTTCTGTCTCGTTTGTTTGTCTTTAGTACCAACTTGCCCTCTTGTGATTGTTCATGGCAAATTTTCCTTCTTCTTCTTCTTTTTTTTTTTGTTTTTACTGCCCACATCGACATCGCCATTAACCACCGATTTACAATCCACCAATGCAAGTTTGGGCAGTGCGAGATGTGCCTGCGTCCACGCAGCCTACGGGAGTGCAGTCTGGTTGTGATTCACCATTATAATGGACAGCAAAGGTCAAATACTAGTTGAAATCCATAAAGGGGCGAACAAACCCATCAGGAACCATTACGTGTTTCCAATAAGCGAACAGTTTGACAGTCTAAATGTATCTCACTGACATTAAAAACAGGTTGAACATGTCTGTCTCAGATACTATATTGTGCCCGGGAATGTGGCCACAAAAAGAAGCGCTTTTTGGGGGGTTTGGTGGCATTTTTCTTGAAATAATAGGGGAAAAAAATGTTTGTGAATAAACCAGACAGCAGCTTGTACTACACACAGCTCACAGCAGGGCTGTTTCCCTCCGCGGTGAAGGGAGCTCTCCAAGTTCAGAGCCAGACACGTCCGCTGCCCCGCGCACACTGTGGCCTGTGCGCGTGCTGCTGTCCCCGTGAGTCCCGCTCCAGCCGCTGTCTCGCGCCATCAGCACCTGAGGCGCGCGCCGCAGCACACGGCTGTAACACCTCCTCTTGATGCGTTCAGTGAAGCGGTCTCGGTGCCGCGGTGCGGGCAGTGTACTGCGGTAGATTTGTGGTTTAACAGGTAAATATCTGTAAATTGTGTGTTCGTAAAGCTTTAACGACTATTTAAGTGCAGAGGTAACTGTTAATGGGGTTTCCGTTTAGCCTAATTAATATAGTGTAATTGTAGTGAGCTCTTAAGTGGCCTCAGTGCATTGTTAATACCACAACGCCTCCGTTTACTCCACGAACAATAATTGAAGCTTTAAATGGACTGAGATTATGAAGCCTTTCCTCAGTAGGCAAACTATAAGGTAAATTAGTAAATTAACTATAAAGTCTGGTAGCTTATTTATAGCTTGTAATTTATGTCCGTTTTTCACAAAGCTTTTTCCTTAAGGGACCCCTTTTCTAAACTAGTAAACTGATTATTAATTATTGACAGATTTTATGGATATTTCATATTATAGTCAACAATAACAGTTATACACTGATAAACTGAACAGAACAACTGATAAACTATACAATGAAACCAAATAGTGAACACAATAACTGCAGGAAGTTTGTGTAAAACGAGCAATTTATATTAATTTGGAACAGATTATTTCCTTTAAATGTGAGTTTTACTGATATTTTTATACAATTCTGCCTGGATTATGTATTTTATTTTCAAATACAATCCTACATACTATCAATCTAAACTATAGAAGAAAAATAGATTTTAATTTAGTTTTCTTCACAGAAATGAACAAAATGCTGAGATAAAGGCCTAATAAGTATATATTTTTTAAATTGTCTTACACCCCTTAAAATCAAGAAGGCCTCACGACCCCAGTGAAGCTTTGGCGGCCTCTAGTGGGTGTCCCGACCCCAGGTTGGGTGACATCGATTTACTTCATAGCCCATAGACCTAGTTTAGGCCATAGTTCTTTATTCAGACAGTCCACATTATCAGCTTTTATATCACTTCCAAACATTGTTTAGTCCTGTCTTACAGAAATGTTTTTTGGGTAACGCTTAGTCAATTTCTAGAGAAAAAACAGACCTATCCAAACCAAACAGACTACAGCTTTGACTCGCTGAACCCTCTGTAATGTTGCATCTATTCTTTAAAATGATTTAAAGGATGGGGTTGCCTTTAAATCTCGGAAATATTTCTCTAAGGAACTTACAATGACCCAGCCTACAGTTCCTCACAGACTATCATTCACCACCAGTTTTTATACCCGTTCACAAGTTGTTCTCTTGGTGTTGAAGTGGCAATGGCTGCAACTCTGTTTAGCTTGTGATTTATTTATAATGTTACAAAAGATGTTACAAATGTCTACATGAATTATGTAACGTTTGCCTAATAAGTTCATTTAAATATTTATAGCTTGATAAACATTTCTGCCGCTGCAGTTCATGGAGGCTTTCTGCCTTTAACTCTTACAAGCGTTGTCTGGTTTGTTAATATTTCCCGCCTAAAGTCCTTGAATGTTAGACAATAACCAGCTTCACTGAGGGCAGCAACAGTTTACAGTGTTCCTGCTATCTATAGCTAAGATTTAATGACCGGATGGTGTAAAAAAAAAAAAGCTCCAGTGAGAGCATCTTTCTGTTTTTTGGTTCTTGACATTCTCTGTCTTCCATCCTTCCTTCCTGGGTGCCATTATGCAACGTGCCAGGCTCTCGCTCGCTCTCTAATTCGATGTGAGTGGGCCAACCTATTATGAACTCAGTGGGGATCAGGTCTGCAGCGGCTTATCAGAGCGAGGCAGTGTCAGAAGCTGTAACGCGCTCGCCCTCGGTGCAGATATCATTGTAATAAAACATATTTCACCTATTGTCTGCAGCCCTGCTCTGCCCAAATGCCTGTCTTCTCATCAGCGCCGTAAGCCTCGGAGCCAGTAATCCAGTTTTTTTCCTGCTAATGCTTTCTGTTTCTGGCGCCTAGAGGCTCTAGATTAGTAGGTTAGAGTGCCGTGGTTTTGATGAGAGTTGATGGTTTGAAACTATCTTTAATGAACTACTACTTGCTGCTCCTGCTACTACTGCTATTCCAATTGTGCTTTCCATTTCCCACTGCACAGCTACTGTTCTACTACTTCCACTAATCTTGCCATATCCACGACATCTTCATTCTGGTGACCACTGTAACTGTGTCTCTGCACGTATTGTTCCCCAGCAACCATTGTACAGTTTACAGAAACAATTACATTAGACTATAATGCTTATCTTAGAAACATTTTACCACTGCTGCTACCAAAG